TCGCATAGATTTTGGCATTTGTCACAGTCTGTGCTTTTCATCTACTTATTCTATTTGCCGTTCAGCTTATGCTCTTAAACATCTTTAATTGCGCACATTTTGCTGCTCGCTTTCATCGTTCAGTTATGGTTCTGTATTTTTTATTGCAGTACGCAATAACAGCATTTGGTAAATCAAATTGCTAGCTATTTCGCAGCTCTTTTATTTTGATGTGGCCCCATTTTATTTTCCATTTTTTTTTTCTTTTATGCGCAAATGCAATTTGTAACTTTTTCAGTGCTCTGCTTTGTATTGGTGCCCCTTTTATCTCTTCGCAATGTCCCCAAGGAGGTGCAGGACAAAGGCTGAAAAGTAGCAGCAGCAGCAGCAGGAGAAGCAGCAGGAGCAGTAGGAGCAGCAATAGCAGCAGAAACAATAAAGAAACTCAGTAAATAGTTAGCTGCATTCTACTTATTTCGTATTTATTTGACAGGGTGTTTTCAAGTTTCAATATCTTCCTTTTGGCCACCCATAAAATGGGAGAGTGAAGACTAAAAGCGGAAAAGGAAGTAAAGAAAAACTATTAATTGAAAGCCGGCTGGACTTTCGGATAGCGAAAAGTAGTCACCAAGTGGCTTAAGCTCCAATTTTCTCTTTTTTTTTTTTTTCTTTGTGGGTTTCTCTTTGCGCATCGTGGGCAACTGTCATTCCATGGCGTCTGCTTTTTGAGTGGTTTTACGTGTCGTATACTCAATAGCAAGTGGCAACTGTAGTGGTGAAAATTACTAATTGATGCGTCTCATAGATGCACAATGCCAAACTTTATTACTTTTTCCATTATTCGTCATTTTCGGATCCAGGACATAGTTGGTATCATTATCGATGCATCATGCATTTGTGGAAAAGTACTTTAATATTTCCAAGTCCAGAGTCTAATGAATTATTACTAGTTTGTCTTTGTGACCGTCAGGTACGTTTTGTCTCCGTTTTAGTACTTTGGCCACAAGTCTGTAATGAGCTCAAACGTCGACGACGACAGTGACAAAACGATACAAAAGTAATTTCTAAAGCGAATAATTCTTGGACGAGTTGCAGCAAGTTTCCTCTACTTTTCAGTAGAAACTTATGCAACTTGTCTGCTTGGCTGGCTGTTAGTTTGTCTCGTTTGCTGTGTTCGGTTCCTTCGGCTGGCTGTTCTCTGTTCTCTGTTCTGCTTGACATCAGCACTGGCACTTGGCAGTGCAATTGCCCGTTAATTGCCATAAATTATTTGCGCTTGGAGCTTCCAGCCTCCAGCAACGGCGCTGGGCATTCAAATTCATATAATTTCAATGTAGTTGCGCATATTTAAACGAAATATAAACTCCGCTTGGTTGCTTGCTTGGTTGCCTGGTTACCCAACTAACGCAACTTAATGCGCCAGCTAAAGCCAGTTGAAAACACGCATAAATTTAAAGGCGACAACAAAGGCGGCAGCTAGAACCTCGTCTAGCTGCAACTGCAACTGCAACAATGCCAAAGTTGTGAACAACAAAAAGTTTGCCCCAAGCCGAAATAAAAATGGAAGCTGTGTGGGGCTTCTGAAGATTCCTGTTGACTTTGACAAAGGCGCTTACAATGGTCCCGGCCAGTGCAGTGGCAGAGGAGCTTACAGATGGCAGCGGAACTCACCTGGTATGCCGTAGTCGCCGCTAAAGCGCTTGGTGTCATAGTTAACAAACTTGTCCACGTCTGGCGGCAAATGAAAGACGTCTGTGAGCACCTCGGGCGGCTGATCCTCTTCGGGGTCCTCCTTTTTGGGCCGCTCAATGCAGAGCAGCTTGGGCAGGATTTTAATGAAGACGCGCTGCACCCACGGCGCCATACGATGCGTCACTGGCGATCTGCGAGTAGGAGAATTAGCTAACGACTTATCGAACTACACCCCAAGTTTCCACTCACCTGAAGTTGACGTTCAGCACCGCAATGGTTACCACAACCGAGAGCGTGACCAGCATCATAGTGAAGAGCAGATATTTGCCCAACAGCGGCACCGTCAGCGACGTCGGCGGAATAATTTCGGCCAGCAGTAAAAAGAACACAGTCAACGACAGCAGGATGCTGATACAGAGCGAAATCTTCTCGCCGGAGTCGCTGGGCAGATAGAAGACCAGCACGGACAGGAATGATATGCCGACGCATGGTATGATCAGATTGACCGTGTAGAAGAGCGTCTTCCGCCTCAGCGTCAGATTGAACACGATGTCCAGATAGGGCTCCTCGCAGCAGCTGTAGAACTTCTCGTTGCGCACCGCCGGCACACGCATAATATCCCACTCGACTGAGATGTAGTAGTCCTGCAGATCGATGCCCACCTCAATGTTATCCGAGTCGGCGGTTTGCTTCAAATGCCGCAAGTCAACCTGAAACGAAAATGAAATAAATTCAATTTCAAATATATATAATTGATAGCTGAATAGAATACAATGAATTGAAATTACAAAACAATTATTGATTGGATTTTGATTGGAATATGATTTCATTTCAATAAATCAAAAAATATACATTCTAGCACGCTATATACTCTGATCAGTAGAATATTGTACTCAATTTGCTATTTATTAGGTTGACATTGTTGGGCTGTAGCGAGATCTGTGCGAGCCGTTCAGCATATTTGATTTATGCGTCAACTCGCTTGACAATGCAACACCTGTGCAATCGTATTGCCATTAACATTGATTTGTTGTCTCATTTTCCAGCAGGCGATGCCAAATMAACATCGACAACAGAAACACTTGGCTCAAGCGTCTGGCAGCTGGCGCAATGAATTTGCCAAGGTGGCTCGAAGGTGTTGCCGCCTCCCAATCAGATGTTGCTGGAGATGTTGGAATCGAAAACGTACTCGTACTTTGACAAATTTTTGACAATCGTCAATTGCCCAACGAATTGCGATTGCCCCCCACCCATCAAATAGAGGTGGCAGCTGCGAACTTAACTTTGGCTCACGTTCACCTCTGAACGTGAAAGACATTTACGCTTTACCATTTATTTCAGTTCATTTGTTATTGCTCTTGTTAGCTATTTGTTGTTCGTGGCGAGCTTCATTTATTTGTCAGCTCCGCTTCCATTGACTCAGACTCACTTTTCTTTCAACTTATATTATTGACAATCTGCAGTTATTCACCGTTTCGATTGACTAATGGAAATCATCTAGATTTGATTTGGTTCATCTATTTTGAAATGTCAGTGTTCTTTCATTTTAATAGMAATAGCTTTTACTTTCTGTTTGCACATCTTTAATGTCACTAATTGAATAAAATCAATTTGTTTTTCGTAAATACGCACACACACACACACACACACATACACATACACCATTTTCGATTACTTCTCCGCTATTATAGAAACGCTGCAATGCATTAACGCCCTGTTGTGCCAATTGGGCACAAACAGAATTCTGAATAAGCGACGAAATCAACTGGCAACAATTTTTTATATGTTGGCAGACATGTTTACTCCATCCATGATTCCATATACACACATGCACACATATATACATATATGTATGTTTTTATGAAGTTAAATTCGATGAAGCATGTTGAAGCTCTCGATGCGTGAATTCGCCATATTTTTCAGAAGGAAAAAGAAAAAGCAAATCGAAAAATTGCGGAAAGCTGTACACGACTGCGTCATACTCGCTCATGCAATAACATAAATTGGCATTCAAAATATTACTAATCAACTAAAATGAAGACAATTTAAGCAAAACTTATTCACTTTGGCACTGAAACAAACAAAACTAAAGGGGATTTTCCCATATCAAAAACTGAAATGTTTCCAGTCTTTGTTAATCTGCGTGACTTTAGCTTTAAATGTGAGGCATATAAATTTGGCGGGCTCTCAGTGGTCCCAGTGGTCGTGTAGAGCATATCTCCGGCCAATATACTCTTTGCTTTAACACAATTAAAATGTTTGCTTACTCTTACGTGTAGCATATATAGGGGAGCTCTGGACTCACAGATAATTCAGCATTATTTATGAGCCCAAACAGACAACATTCGATGAAATTAATGAGTAGATGTAATTTGAATTTAAATCTGACAGACGGACGATATATAAACTTTATGTAAGAAAGAATAACAAATAAATCAGCAAGTGTGTTATTAATTCGTTGTGTTGAGCTCCAAGTTTGTAGCTTGTTGCTATATGTCAATTTCGATTTGGCTGTAGCTGCTGTTCCTTTGACAAACGAGTCCCAAAAAGTTTCCAAAGTCTTGGCTGGTTCATTAAACGCAGCTGCTGGCTGTTATCTCCTCCTCGCACACACACGTGCGTGTGTGTGTTTGTGTGCAGGCGAGAGTCTTGTGATTTATCACATGCCCAGGAATGAAAAAAAAAAGAAAGAGAAAAACACAAAACGAGCGAACGAACGAAACGTGTCAAGTGTACAAAAATACAATAAACTTTAGCAACAGTATTGAAATAAATAAATATACAACAGCCATTCACGAGTGCAGCCCCGAGCGAGCCACGCCCCTGTGAGGAACCTTTATTACTGGCTGCTTACCCCGAGCAGCGATAAAAGACCGAAACGAACAATCAATTGCCAGTGAGAGAGTCCCTTTGTTTCGCCATTCGATTCAAGGTCGTCGTAGCCAGCTCAGCGTGGTGTAACATGTTTAAAAAGTCATTTTCTTGACTTTACTTTTCCTTCTTTGAATCCACGCACTCTCTCTCACACATACATATATGTTTCCGTGTGCCACGCCCATTTGTCTGCTATTGAATTTCGCGACTTAATGCTTTTATAATCGAGTTAAACATTTGATTAACATTTGATTAGCCGTCAGTCAATCAGAAACGACAAACGAAGCCAAAACGCACTGAACTCTTCACCGTATTGATGGATGGCTTAGATCTGAGCTGTGGCAGTGCCATTGATTGACAGCCCACTCACTCTCTCACTCTCTCTTTCTCTCTCTTTCTCTCCCTCTAGAGCCAAGTGATAAACTTGCATATATAAGCACTTAAGTACTTTCACTTACCATGTAACCATCGTATGTCCACGAACCGAACTTCATGAAACATGTCTGCTCGTCGAACGGAAAGTATTCGACATCAATTTCGCAGAAGGATTTATAAATGGCGGGCGGCTTCCAGACCACTTTGCCCGTATGATGAAGAATTGCTTTTGTCATTATTGTCACTTCATAGTTGCCATCGGCGCTGCAAATATAAGAAATATATTCACATTGAATGAGTGAACGTATAGAAAATTATTTAATATATCATATGACTGTATAACGCAATTCAATGTATTTTTAATATGAATTCTGAATACATTGAGAGTCAATAAATTCAACATATATTAAATATAATATTTCATTATTCCATCTCCCACCACTTTATGCTAATTAAGTCTTTGGTAATGTTTGGAAAATTAATATTTAAGCCTGAAAGTTAAATACGTGAATCAGACAGCAAATATCGCTCTTCTATCTAATTATATGTTTATTTGTATTAAACAGTCGAAAGCTTTTAATTGTTTGACAAATTTGTCATTAGTCAATTAAAATAGTAATTATAAATATTAAATACTGCTTGCGATCTGATTAGTATATTTTTACTATAACTTGTCATATACCATACTGATATGGGGTGTGGCATATGCCTTTGAGTTGGGTTTGACTTCAGTCTTAATTTATACAGTATTCATTGGGCTCAGTCTGCTCTGCATTTGACATTCCAGTTTCGAAATACTTCAAGTATTTAGGCATCACTTAAGACAGGTGCGCCGCAAAAGTCTCTATTAGCACGGATTTTCAACCTGTCTACCAGCATTTTCAAATTAAAACGCCTCGACAAGAAGCTTAAAAACCACCAACTGCACCCACCCACCCACACACACACACACACACACATAGACTAAGAGACGTAGACAGATACTGATACACTGTTTAGACAGTCAGACCGAACCGCAATACCATTTCCGGCGGCCATATTAACTTAACGCCATAAATCTCAGCACTGGTATTATTTTGCGGTAGACACAGGCTCAGTTTGGTTGCCCCTCACACACACACACACACACACACACACACACACACTGTTGGATACCCTCTTCTCTTTTTAATCTTTGCAACTCTCCCCCGCTTTTGGCTTTGCCTCCGCTCGGCTGTCATCGTCGTACATACGTTGGAGTATTGCTATTCCCAAAGTGCTATGGCTTTGGCTTTGTTTTCTTTAATTAAATGAATGCTGTTGACAACTTTATTATCAGCTGAACTTTTGTGAACCCAAGGCACCCAGCCGACGCCCAGCCACGCCCAGCCACGCCCAGCCAGAGAGCGCTCGACTGCCACAGCCACTTTAATTCTATTATTGTGTATTACGGAGGCGGACCGCTCCTCCATAAATGCATGACACACACACACACACACGCACTCACACACACAGACACACTAATCTATGGTTCTTTTTCAACTGTTTTAGTTTTCAGCATCAACTGCGGAGAAATCAAAAGAAGCGAAATAAAATTTCATTATCTTTCATTAGATTTATAAAAATAGGAATGCCGCACCCAGAACGCTGGATACAAAGTCAAAGAGAAAACTTTTGAACGCCTGCGGATTGGCTCGGTCTTTTCCACTTCGCTTTTAGCACTCGGGCTCGGCTTCAGATTCAACTGTGGCCTAGCAGATACAAAGATGGCGCACAGTGTGGCTCTCAGATTAACGCGCCGATAGCCGGCGAGGGGCTGCGGACGTGCGCCATGGAGCTGACACTCATACGCCGCGTTGTCCCGCATGTATGTATGCGTGAGTGTGTGAGTGTCTGTGTGTGTGTGAGTGAGAGTGTGTGTCGCCGCGCACCACCGAATCGCCGTGCAGATAATGGCTGCAATTGTGGTGACCCCCAGGCGTGGTTTCGGTTTTTCGGTTTGGTTATAAACTTTTGTTCTGGCTCTCGTTTTTTCTTTTTTTTGTTCTCTCTATTTTTTTTAGTCTTTGCGATGTGCTTTTTGCAGCGCCATCGGCCATTTTAAATGGTTTTTAGCCATTAATGGTTTGCTTGGCGCTGCTGCTGCCGCTGCTGCTTCTTCTACTTCTGCTGCTGCTGCTGCTGCTGCTGCTGCTCCTGCTACTGTTGTTGTAATAACATTTTAAAATGCTGTGCTTTTGGATTTGTAGTTAGCGTGCAAGTATGTCTGCCAGTGGCCACGGCAATGGCTTAGTCTATATGCTTCGCCACGACTGCTGCCTGAGGCCGTCGCCGCTAATGGACAGCGCCACCGTTGATAGTGGAGGGGCCGGTAGGTGACCCAACGGCCCACGGCCGAACGGCCGAACGACCATGGGCGTCCACAGCTAAAAACAACATTCGAAGCAATTTTCGCATTTAAAATAAATTTGTAATTAGAAGCTGAAATGTATTTTTAATTAGTTCTACAATTTGAGTTGATCCAGCAAAAGCCATTTCGTTACTGTTGCGCAATTTTTATAGTCGGTTATAACGACCACAAACACACACACACGCAGACACACATACTCATACATATACATTAGCTGGCTGCTGGCAATGTTTCTAAATTATGATATTGCTTAGAAGTTACCAAAACTATTAGCACAGAAGATACAGTCATAAGGAAGCAGCTGACACTAAAACCAACTCTGCTGCATTTGCTGGCTCGCCTCTTTAAAAGGAATTTAGCCACTGGAATTAGCTGGCAATATAAAATATAGATTAAGCTAATGCACCGTGGCTAAAGCAAAAATGTATAAAAAATAAATTTTTGTGAATTTTAAGTAGTTAGACTTTCTATCGGGCTTAATGCCTTAAAATATCATAATCATAATCAAAACATAATTAGACACGTTGTCCAAGCGGCAGTCCATACAAATACATACAAATGTGCATACATATTTAGTGCCTAAGCAAGACACACTGAGTGCGCTTTGAGAAGTTCTCAAATACGTATTATCAAATAAGTCCAAGAGACCATTAAATGTAGCCTGCTCAGAGAGCCAGCCGCAATTGCAATCAATTCTAGACTCGAACTAAAAACAGAAACCAAATATAAAAGAAAGATGGAGATAAGAAGAGAAAGAGAGAGAGGGAGAGAGCGAGAGAGAGAGAGAGAGATAGGGGGAGCCTCTCGTTTTGAGTCTCAGCTCGAGTGCGATTTTAATTTCTTGGATCAACATGAAAATTAATTGCTGGAATTAAGCGGCTTTCACAAATATAAACAGAGTCGCCGTTGCCGTCGCCGTTGCTGTCGTCACCATTGGCTAGGCTACTCACTTTTACTGCTTGCTTTGCCTAATGGCCCACCCACACACATACACACACACACACAATCGCAGTGGCTGCTGTTGACGGTTTCTCGGCTTCGATGCGTATTTAATGTTCCCGCTGTAGCTCATACGACTAATTATGCCTGGTCAGCAAACTTGGCTATGACACATGATGCTGTACTCGGCTCTATCTATGTAGATGTTTTGGGCGTTCCATTGAGAGCTGAGCGTTTTCAAATTTGGTTCGAAATTGCAATTTAAAATTGACAAACGTGGAGCGTGGTGCAGGCGAGCCGCAAACAATTAGAGCCAAAAAGCGCCAGCTACCTCCAATAAATTACAGCTCTTGACGCTTGTTTCAAAGGCCGCATAGCAACATGGCCAACAATATTTAATAGGCCAACATGGCTGTCCTGCGTGTGTAGATGTGTGTGTGAGTGTGTGTGTGTGGTTAAGTGGCTGGCAGGTATTTGCGCCTGGGCCATGTTGTTGTTTGGCTACGCGCTTTGAAAGGCTCGCTCAACTATTTGTTGGCTATTTCACATTTAGCAGGCAATTAAACATTTTTCATTGCATACGAATTTCGGCGTAAATTTCGGTGGATGTGCCATCATTCCCCATACATATACGTATGTATATAAGTGTTTGTGTGACGCTTTTCGTTTGTCTTGGCGTGCAAAAAGTTTACGCGTGAAATATTGCCAGTTGCAATGCAATTGTGAATGTAAACGCATTTTCAGCGTTGCAAACTTTTGGGCCCGCCACATGGTTGAATTTACTGTATTTGCATTCAAGATTACAACAATACACGTATGCCAGTCGTATAAATAACATAGCCAGAAATTTCCGCTCAGATTCAATGTATTTTTCAGCGATTGAATTGAATATTCAGCCATAATTTTTCCATTTGCAACAAAAGCGCAAAATATTAGTTGATTTGTAAAAAATCTGTTTTATTTTTTTTTTTTTTTATTTATACCTAAATATTTTAAATCTATTTCCTTTGCTGATATTTTCCTTTTCATTGTTATACAATTGAAACGTGGCAAAAAATATGTGAGCATACGATTTTAGTATCAATGAAATTTGAATTAGGTAAAACATTGAAAATGTTTTATGTGCTTATGGCTATTGCAAATCTGAAAACACATAAAGCTCTAACTAAAAATTTGAGTTGGCTTATTAGCTCAAAAACTAAGTTGATTTCCATTTGCTGTTACGTAAAGACAAAGTATACTTTAGCAACAAAAGTTTTCCTTCAAATAGCCAAAATTCCATATAAAGAGAAAGTAAATATTGTGAATTGCGACTGACGACAGTTAGATGTCTTTTGGTATGGATAGGGGCAACATTTATATGACACTTCTACTCAGGGGGAGTGCGTTAAATTAACTTTACAGACGCCTTTTATTGCCAGCAAACACAATTAACTACGAGAAGCGGGCAGGGGCCACTTTGGGCTAAACTGGAAATATCTGTGCCGGAGTCGAATGGCACTTCATGTCCAAGTGGCACTAAAGGGAAACAGCTTTCTAACGAAAGCATTGCTTCATTATTGCTAGTGCAAATGATTTTTTCACTTTAAAAATCGTTCACGGTAGCAGCGAACGACAATGAAGGCCATACACTGAGCACTGTGCGTCCGTGTGTGTGTGTGTGTGTGTGTGTGT